GGACCAGGCACATAAGACACAGAACAATGAAGTGTTCTATGATAAAAAGGCACATAGGAACAACAACAACAAAAGATGCTTTACAGACAGGCTAGAGGCACGCTGATGTGAGGGCTTGGGGCATGGGGTTAGGTGGTGTGAGGGCAGAAGCCACAGCAGGAGTGAAGTCCTGGGGCACAAAGGAGACTAAGCATCTGGTGTGGCTCAGGGTGGGAGGGGGCATGTGATAGGAGGCCGGGGTGGGAAGCGGGGAGGGGTCAGAACATACACTTGCTAGGAGTTTGGACACAGCTGGGAGTCACCAGATGGTGGTAAGTAACAGGGTGTGGTGGGCAGAACTGTAAAATGGCCCTGGAGATTTCAGCCCCTCAGTGTACACCCACCTTCTCCCGGTTAGTCAAACACTAATCTAGGCGCTGCTGTGAGGGAGTTTTGCAGATGTGATTAAGGCCCCAAACAGCTGACATTAAGATAAGGTGATTATTCTGGGTAGACCTGACCTAATTAGGTGAGCCCTTAAAATGGCCTGGGCTCTTCCTGGAAAGAGATTTGCAGCAGGAAAGGGATTTATGAGAGGGAGGTTCTCGTTGCTGGCTTTGAGGATGAGGGGGCTATGCAGAAGGAATTTGAGAGGTCTCTAGTGCTGAGAGTTACCAGCTGGCCGACAGCCAGCAAGGAAATGGGATGCCAGCCCTGCAACCACGAGGACTGACCTCTGCCAGCAGGCAGAATGGGTTTGGAAGCAGATTCTTCCCGTGAGCCTCCGGATGAGCACACGGCCTGGAGGACACCTTGATTGCAGCCTGTAGACCCTAAACAGAGAAGCCAGTCACGCTGTGCTCAGATTTCTGACCCACGGAAACTGTGAACTAATAAATGGACATGGCTTTAAGCCACTAAGCTTGTGGTAATTTGTCACAGAGCAACAGAACACTCATACGGGGGTAGCCATCAGATTTGCAACTGGTAAAGTTATTTTGTGACCCTGAAAGACTCCCCCCTTTTATTGGGTCATTCTCAGGGGCACACATATGTGCTCTGGTGTCTCCATTCTTAGCGAGACTCGCTCAATACTTCTGCTCCCTGCACAGCATTTCAACCCGTTGTCTTCACTTCTTGCCTCTCCCTTCTTAACCCACTCCAATTTGAAGTAGTTGGCCTCCTTGCTTTGCAACATTGTCTTTTCTTGGCCTTTGTGTCACCCCTGCTGGTAGATGTGTCAAGGCCTGTCATCTGGTGTTCCTCCCACCGTGAGTAATTTGTGCAGTGGTGGAGGCCCACAGGCCATGGGGGATTGGGGGGGATTTCCACTCCTCTCTTTGAACTTGGAGACGTTGCCCTGGGGTGCCTTCCTGCATGGGCCAGCTCCGCTCCCAATCTGGGTACATCCAGGTCCTCCCGATCTGGTCTCTTGTGACCACGCTGATCAGATGGGGCTCACCTGCCCCTGGATGTCTCCTTACAGGGATCTGACTCACAGCCCTCTCTTAGCAGTAGCGGCTTGCTTGTTACTCATCGGAGAGAGAAAAGGAAGTCCATGTGCTCCTCCTCTGCTTGATGAGTTGGGCACATCTTGTCCCTAGACAGAGTGGCCACTGCAATTTGTTGATTGCCTTTACATTAAAGAGTGATCTGGCACACACGTAGACACAGGTGGCAGATCCCAGTGCCCCGAAGGGCTCAGCAGAGCCCCTGGTGAGCCTGTGGCTAAATGACCACAGCCCCTGCAGGAGCAGGGCGCCAACCCCTGCAGGTGGCTGTGCTGGAGCTGGAGCCAGGTCCCTATCTCCCACTGGCAGACGTGGACTCACCTGAGGCGGCACCACATGCTGCTTCTCACCATGTCACAGGCCCCTTTCCTGACCACTCCCTGTCCCCCGGCACTGAGAAGCACAGCATCCTTACCTTTTAACCCACACGACCTGGGGTCTGTGCGATTGGGGAAGTCTTCCCCCACCCCCAGCACTACATTTGCCCTCAGCATTTGGTGGACAGATGTGCGGCCATGTACCAGGAGCACAGGGGTTCCCATTCGCCCAGACCATGCACACTACTGTGGGTATAGCCTTCAGATGAGCCCACGCGAGCAGGCTCAGCTCACACTCATCTGTAAGCAACCTCTGCCAGCACACACGGGTCCAGCAGAGAAGGTGAGGCATGTGATTTCCCCACTGCCTCGCTGTGTGACCTTGGGAAACCACTCGGCCTTGCTGTGCCAGTCCCCAACACACCTTCCCCCATCACATGGAGAACAACACCTGCTCCTCGTTGCCTCCCAGGAATATGATGGACATGAAACAGTCTGCTCCCCTCAGCTGTGCTCAGGGCCCGAAGGCAGGCTGTGCAAACACCATATAAGTACCAAGAAGAATCATTTCCGAAAATTCCTTCTCCTTAATGCATTTTTATAGTTCACTTCTTTGGTAGAAAGGTCATTCAGTTAAATTTTACAAGGACCAAGAGCAAAAGAAGGATCTGAGATGGAGAAGGGTTTTGTCGCACACAGCCTGTGCAGACGACAGCAAAAACAAGGTACCCTGATGAGAAAAATCCTCATATGCAAGACTGGAAACCTGGTCATACAGATGGGGTTTTATGGCAATACCAGAGCCAATGAACTGCAATAAATGTTCGTGGAAGTGGAGGGAACAAAGTCAGACCAGATGGGAGTTACATAGTAAATGTGTGACTGCATGGAGTCCTGGTTTTGTTCCAAACAGAAGGTTGAGAGAAGACACACTGAAAGCAGGGTTGGGTGGCAAAGGCCCGCCTGAGGCTGAAGCCCGTCTAGGTGGCGGGGAGACTAGGCTGGGACAGGGCAGTAGCCTGGAATCAGCGACTGGAATGTCACACGCACCTTCCTTAGGGGTTCTCCTCAAGAAAAGACCACTGTTTAGCCTCTCCCCGCCCCCCCCACACTCTCTCTTTTCAGTCTGGATGCCCAGGCCCACAACTTTGGTGTCTGGAAACATCCTTTTTCAAGGGAGGAATATTTTTGAAAATGCTGGGAAGATTCCCTCAACTCACTTCAACCTCTAGCTTGGCAGTGATTTAATACCTTCAAAGAAGGTGTTAGTGTCCACTGGATTTTTAAAAATGAAAACATCCCCAAACCTCAGCCCTCAGGTGCCTATATTATATACCCTCATGAAATGATTATTCCAGTTTCTAAGCTATATTTACAATATAATTATGTTATTTTCCTTTTTGCTGTAGCCCTGTGGGTTCTTTCTTGGCTCCATATATCTGGGTCTTGATTAGAAATCCATACTAACCAACTTCAGGCTGGTTATTGGAAATCCATCGTGACTGACAGAACAAATGAAATCTCTTTATGTTTAGTCAGCAGAACCTGCATCCTACTTGTGGCAGCGAAGGCCTCTGAGGTTTGGGGAATTTGCAAAATTTAGGGGCTTAGCTTACAGATACAACATCCAAATGGCTCCCAGTTGGAAGCAGGCAGTGGATCTGCATCCCATGTTTCTGGCACAGTCTACTCATTAGGATTTTTTGAGGGCATTTTCCTGTGCTGCTTCTCTCTTCCCGCCTCAAGCAAAGCAATTACAATTTAACCACATGGCCAGAGGTGCTGGCAATGTAAAAACAGAGCTATTACAACTTGGAGGAAAGACAAAAAGTGACAGTGAGTAAATCAGGAGGGTAGTGAAGTTCCCCACAAGGCAGTCTTCGATCTACCATCAGCTTGGAGGCCACACTATAAAATAACAGCCTGGCTCGATCAAGACAGCAGACAATAGCCTGCCCCTCCTACCCTAAATCCCCAGAAATGATAGGAAATGTATTTTTGTAAAGTCCCTGAGCATATTAGAAAGCAAGGGGTGCTCTTTCTATAACAGAAACCATGAGCAATCATAAAAAGGGAAGGGCAGATTTTTTCCTGAAAAAGGAAACCACAACTCAAAATGTACCCCAAAGAGAGCTGCTACAAAAAGAAGAGGCGATTCAGAGGAGCTCCAGTCAGAGGTGCTGGCCATCAGGGCAGGAGGGGACCAGACGCCTGGGTCAGAGACGCAGCCTAGAGAGCCGTTGTCGACCAGGAGGAACAGAAAGCCCAGAGGGTGAGCTTGTGAGCCAACACCAAGAAAGAGTCACAAAACTCAACTCTAAAAAGAATTTACATGTGAGGAAACAGAGTTAATACAGCAGACAAAAGAAAAGTTTAGAATAAGTATAATAAATATCCTCAAAGAGATGCAAGAGGATATCATATCATTAAAAGAGATGCTAGATTTCATCACCAAAATAAAAAGCTCAACATATAAGCCAAACACCACAATGCATACAGCTAAGGGATAAATTAGTGATCTGGAAAACTGAGCTGAAGAACCTCTATAGAACTGCATTATCTGATAGATATGGCAGCCACAGCCACGTCAGCCAGCAAACACTTGAAATCTTGGCTAGTTCGAATTTGAGATGTGATGTAAGTGTAAGATATATACCAGATTTTGAAAACATAGTGTAAAAAAAAAAAAAAAAGCATAAGATGATAAACTATCTCATTAATATATCTTTTTAAAAATATGATTACATGTTGAAATATTTTGGACACATTGGGTTACATAAAATTTGTTATTAAAGTGAATATCATTTGTTTCTTTTTACTTTTTTAATGTGGCTACTAGAATATTTAAAATTACGAAGGGCCGGCCCCATGGCTTAGCGGTTAAGTGTGCGTGCTCCGCTGCTGGCGGCCCAGGTTCGGATCCCGGGCGCGCACCGACGCACCGCTTCTCCAGCCATGCTGAGGCCGCGTCCCACATACAGCAACTAGAAGGATGTGCAGCTATGACATACAACTATCTACTGGGGCTTTGGGGGGGGGGGGAATAAATAATAATAAAATAAAATTATGTATGTGGTTTGCATTACACTTCTACTGGACAGCACTGCTCTAGAACAGAGTGCGATGGGGAGAGTATGGAATGTTGAGATATGGAGGACAGAACTAATGAATCAGCATCTGCTTCTCCTTGAAGAAGGAGAGAAAGAAACACTGAAACAATAGAGGAAAAATGTCCAGAACGGAATAAATACATGAGGCCTTCTGATTGGAAAGGGCCAGCGATTCTGAGGGGAAGCATCCCACTAAAGTTGGAAACAAGGTAAAGAAGCCTGTTTTGATCGTCACCGTTTAACACTGTCGGTGTTTAACACCGTTTAACACTGTAGCCAACGCAACAACACAACAAAAAAACAAAGCGAGACATTTTCTATTTGCAGGTGAAATGACTGCTTATACACTCTCCCCGTCACTCCCCTTTCGAAAGGCCAGGCACCAAAAGGGCTTCTCCACACCTGGCCTCCATGGCCTGGGCAAAAGTAGGACATATCAGCACCTCCTCCTTCCTAGGTAGGCCTGTCATGATCCATGAAGAGCAGGCAAGAGAACTTAGAACAAAGCTGTCTCTGCTGGAATAAATCGCTTGTGTGGGTCGTGGGAAGGGTGCTTACCGCCGGATGGCACTGGCGAACTCCGCAGCCAGTTCACTGTCGCTGCACGTGGTCCTTAGTTCAGCCAGGGACAGACCTGGGGAGGCAGCGTCCGCACACTCCTGAGGAGAGCCAACAAGTTCCTGTTAGATCTGGAGCCACGCCTGAGAGCACCTTGGAAGTGCAGGGGGCAGACCGTGGAGGCAGGACAGCAGCTCTGCCCCAGGCATCTTTGACCTTTCACCTTTGGCCAGGGGGTGATGAGCACTCACTTGGAGCCAGGCACTGGTCTGAGGGCTCAACATACATATTCTCTCACTTAATCATCTTGATGACCCTCTGAAGCAGATGCTGTCATTATCCCCATTTTACCAAGGAGAAAACGACGGCACAGAGAAGTGACACTGCCCCAAGTCACCAGCTAGGACACGGTGGAACCAGGATGCAAACCCAGGTCGGCCAGCTCCAGATCAGTGCCCTTCACCACTGGGTTAAGCCTCTCAAAATTCACAGAAGACAAGTGGGAAATACATGTGAGGATCCTGGCCCCCCATCCCACTTCTCCTGGGGAGAAAACCAGTCTTCCCTAGATTTAGGAGCTGTACTGGGTTCAGTGTCATCATCTAGAAAGCCCAGGAAAGGAGGAGGAAAACAGGAGTGTCTTAGCATTAGCCAGGAGCTTGACTTCATTGAAACCAAATCCTCTCATTTTACAGATGAGGAAACATAGGAGGCAGAACTCCTGAATCCTAAATGGAGTTACCACTGTGCCTAAAGCAGTCACCACACCTGCTTGGGCACTCCACTTTCTCTGCATAGAGACCCAGGGCAGCAGCTACGCTGCATAATAAAGTGGCCGGGGGAGGCGCTCATCTCAGAATTTGCTCAGCAGGGGCCGGCCCCGTGGCTTAGCGGTTAAGTGCGCTCGCTCCGCTGCTGGCGGCCCGGGTTCGGATCCCGGGCGCGCACTGACGCACCGCTTCTCCGGCCATGCTGAGGCCGCGTCCCACATACAGCAACTAGAAGGATGTGCAGCTATGACATACAACAATCTACTGGGGCTTTGGGGGGGAAAAATAAATAAATAAAATCTTTAAAAAAAAAAAAAAAAAAGAATTTGCTCAGCAGACATTTACTGAGGATCTACTACACACCAGGCTTGAGAATAAAAAGTTGTGATCTGTTGCAGGAGATGGAATGTAAACAAAGTTATAACGTGATGGGATGAGAGCTACAAAGAAGTATGAAGCCAGTGCGAGGAGTCTAGATGACAGGAGGGCACAGGGTCTCCCTCAGCCCACTCTGACACAGAAACACCACCACACCCAGGGGGTTCCTCCGCAGCAGCACAGCTAGCATCTAAACACCCCTTCCCTCTGCCATGCCCTCTGCCTGCACGGCTTTCCCTCCCTCCTCTCCATCTAGCGGCCCTGTGGACCCAAGCCCCCATCCACCAGCCCATGGAATCTGGCGAGATTCCAACACCCTCTTCTCTTTGTATATCAACTCCCACGTGATGTTAGCATTTCATGTCTCCTTAAAGACAGGGACAGCCTTGCCTCACCCAGGGCCTCTCACGGAACATGTTTGGTGATATCTGTTGCATAAAGACAAAACCACAAAGACCTAATGCAACTTGGATGAGATCTGGGACCCAGCTCGTTGGCTGGAGGGCAGTTTTAAAACAAGCACGACACCCACCCTATGGAGCAAGAGTGGGCGTCCGGACCCAAATCCGGCTGCCACCTGTTTTTATAAGGCCCACAGGCTAAGAATCATTTTTCTATTTTTAAAATCATGAAAAAAAATCGAACGACTATTTAGTCACATGTAGGAATTATATGAAATTCAAATTTCAGCGTCCATAAATAAAGTGTTATTAGAAAAGAGCCACGTCCATTTGCGTCTGTGTAATCTCTGCTTTCCCACTACTATGCAGCAACGGCAAAGGGGAGCAGTTGCAGCGGAGTCTGTGTGACCCCAAATCCCCGAAATATTGACTCTCTGGCTCCTTGCAGTTTGCTCCAGCCTGCTTGCCTCATCTACTAACAATTAAGACCAAATGAAGAGCCCAGAAGGGAGAGTCTATTGAAATAGTAAATGGATCTCATATTTCAAAGACAAGATAATCAGTTTACTCTAATTTCATTACCTGAACAACACAAGGTACTCTTATAAAGCTTCTTACTCTAATGTACAAAAAATAAAGTTAAAAAAAACATCTGGCCCTCTCCATCAAAGAGATTTCCGTACTTTGAAGCCATTCCACATAACACAGTGCTTCCCCCAGTGAAAATAAATACCAAGAACTGGGGGAAAATGCTCAGATCATGGGCCTTCTGGCAAGAACCTGGCAAGGCCATTTCCACCCCACCCTAAGAACACACACAAACACCGGAGCTCTGTCTCCTGGGCTCTGTCCCAGCGTGACTGCTGACCAACCCAAAAGGCCATACAGAGATTTTTGCGGTGTTGGCATGGGACAGAAATCCCCATCTTCCTGAGCCCCAGGTATGAAGCAGCTCTGCGCTGGCTGCTGTCTGCCCTGACTTGCTTCCCCAAGCATCGGCAGATGTTTCACGGTGCACTTGTGCAGTGACCTTTCCGGAGCCCCAGCTGCTGCAGACCCTTCAGCAATTACTCACTGTTCTCGGGATAGCACAGCGGCTCACCTCTCCAGCCAGTGTGTCAATTCTCTTCCCTCTGGGTCTTTCCCTGGGGCCATTCCATCAGCCTAGAGTGGACTTTCTGCTCTGCCCTGGCCCTCTTCATCAGGCTAGCTCCCACTCTCCACTGGGTCTCCGTTCAGAAAACTGTCCCCAGTCTCCAAATCTGGATTCTGTGTGTGGCCTGTGGCCTCCTAACACACTCAGAATTAATCCTTGCACTCAGGACACTGTCAATGTGTTATGATCATCTGTCTGCCCATCACTGTCCCCCACTGGAATTCAAACTCCTGGAACTGCCCCCAGCACCTGGCCAGGACATCTCTTGAATGGATGACTGAAAAGCAGCCGGGGTCTTGGGAGAGCTGGCCCAGCTGGGTGCCATGGCCGTGGCCTCCTTGGCTCCTTAGTGGGTGAGAGGTGGGCCAGGTGTAGTGGTGGCCCTTGGTGAAGCATGCTTCAGAGTTCCTAACTGTTTAGGGAGTGACAGTTCACTGCCACACGGCATCCACAAGTTGCTTTCTTTGTGGTACACAACTCCCCCAGAAACAGCCCTGCATTCGGGCTGTGAGAAGCCACTCATTAGACAGCAAGTCAGTGCATGCCCATGAGTCCTGGGCCTGAAACAAACCAGGGTGAGGAGAAGCTAGCATTTATTAGGAACAGAAAATACGCAGTACAGAATTTCAGTACCCTGGGATGAGGGATATAATTCTTCAGGGTCCAGAGCTTTTTTACTCCAATGCGGTATTGGGAATAATTCTGAGATATAGTATGACAGAATGAGCTTGGATTCTAGGCAACATAAAACTGTGGGCTAATGACAGTCTGAATTTGCAAGACGGTATCACCTGACAGCCCACTTTCTGTGACATCCTGTGTGTAATCCAGGGCTTGCCTTCCTCCTCCTCCGCCTCAGGCTGCTTCCTGCTCCCACCTCGCTGACGGCAGAGATGCCAGCAGAAGTCGAGGAGGCAACACAGACGACAGGAGGAGGGCCCGTTAGCCAAGTTTGGGTTAAATCACAATTCTGCCATTTATAAACTGTATGCCCCCTCATTTCTTTCGAGCCTGATTTTCTTCACATAAATGGGGATAACTATTCCTTCCTCAGAGTTCTGTGATCAACAAATGGTGGCCGCCGTGAGAAACAGGACAGTAACAGGAGGTGAACCAATATCAGACTATCGGACAGTGCAAGGTCACTCCCCTGATAAGACTATGATATGTGGAAATGCTCTCACTGTTACATCAAGTAGGATTTTAAAAAAACGTGGATTTGGTTTCTTGGCACTCAAAATGTCACCGTCTTTTGGATATCTACAATGGCCAGCAGTTCCTACGCAAATAAGGAAACTGAGGCCGCAGAGCAGTGAGGAGCGGTGGCGGTAACTGGGCAGGAAGTGAGGCCCGAGCCCCAGGTGTCCCCGCGCCCGTCAGTCCTACCTTGCCGGACTTGTCTTTGCCGCTGCTGCCGGTGGAGCTGAGGGACCGCACGCGCTGCTCCTTCTGTTCCTCCACCTCGGACTTGAGGTGCTCGATGTGCACCAGGTAGGCCTGCTCCTGGGCCTCCCGAGTGCTCAGCTTCAGCTCCAGGGCCTTCTTCTCTTTCTCCAGGAGGTAGAGCTGGGCCTTCAGCTCGGCCATCTCCTCCTACAGAGCACAGAGCATATGAGGCGCCCACGATGCGAGAGCAGGGCCGACATGGGAAAGCAGGTGAGTGAGAAGGGGACTCGCCTCTATAACCCACGGACCTGCGGTAGAGTTATCACTCGCAGCTGGGGATAAGATGACTGGGAGGAGACGTGACAGCTGTCTCCACACATCTGGAGGAGGAGGTGTGGACAAAGCCATGTGCTTTGTCACTCTATGGACCAGAACTGCGATAAATGGGTAGAAATTACAGGCAAGCAGTTTTGGTTCACTATGAGGAAAACCTTTCTAACAACTAGAACATTGCCTACCCCCCCGCCAAATCGACACATCTGTCTTGTTGGAAACCAGTTTTCTGGCCTGTGGAGGCTGAGCTCCATCAGCCAAAGAGGTCGTAAAGGAGGGTCATGCATACAAGGCTGAGTCTGACTAGGTCCCTTCCAATTCCCATTTCCTTTTCCATTTTCCATGGCACCAGTCCACATATTTAACCACCCCTGATGGCACTTGGTGCCCTGCAGCTGAGCCAGGCAGGTAGGGAGGGCCCACAGCAATGATATCGCCCCCAGCTCTTGTCTATGTCAGGGGGCCCAGATGAAATCAATAGACACAAAACCCTTCACAGGTGACTACTCATCAGGTAACTTCTCCAAGTATCTTAGAGAACTCAAGTTCGAGTTTTCTGAGGAGAATAAGTGACTCTAGAATGGGACAATGCTATCCTGGGACCAGGAGCCAGATAACAATGAAAATCACCAGCAGTTATTGAGCAATAACACTGTTTTAAGTGTTTACATGAAGTAACTTATTTAATCCTCCCAATCGGAGGTAGATATTATGAGTACCTCCATTTATAGATGGGAAACTGAGGCACGCAGCAGGAAATCCATCTTCCCCTGGCTACTGGGTAAATTGTGGAGCCACAGTTTGAACCCAGGCTGTCTGGCTCAGAGCCTAGGCTCTTGAAAGTCCCTCCCTTTCAAGGTGAGCCCATACATGACTCCTGACTCCTCAACTCTGCTGGAGGGTGAGTCCACCACCACATGACCATCAGGTCAGTCTCCCCAGCTATCTCTGTGATCTTATTTAAAAGGATTCTTGGGCCGGCTCCGTGGCTTAGCGGTTAAGTGTGCGCGCTCTGATGCTGGCGGCCCGGGTTCGGATCCCGGGAGCGCCCCGAGGCACCACTTCTCCGTCCAACGTGAGGCCGAGTCCCACGTACAGCAACTAGAAGGATGTGAACCTATGACATACAACTATCTACTGGGGCTTTGGGGGGAAAAAACTGAATAAATAAAATCTTTAAAAGGATTCTTCATAACGCTGAGTCACTGCCTTGAGAGGGATTCACCAAGGTCACTGATTCTAGTCACCCCGAAAGTGACCCTTCTCTGAGGTAATAAGCCATAGGCCTGGTGTGCTCTCCTCGATAAGCCAGACTAGGGGGTAGGGGACTGGATGTTGTTGCCCTCCAACGTGGGGAAATACCTAGAGGGACCCATCATGGCCTGTAATACTCAAGGCTGGGGGGCATTAGACATGGAGAAGGCAGTGGGCTCAGTGACTACTCAAGAGAAGATGCCAAACCTTTTCTGAGACATAAAACCAAGATGAAAGGTGTTTCCATACACTGAAGCCTTCTCTTCTATTGCCATTAGAAGCAGGATTCTGAAGGTTCTGGCAACACTGCATAATGAGCTAATGTGGATAATTACACCCAGAACAAACATAAACGCAAGCTTGAAAGAAGGAAAGATGAATTCACGTGTTCCAGAAATGAAGAGGGACCTCCGCCCAAGGGGAAAGGTGAGGTGGCTGTAGTGTTGGCTGACAGAGGCATCAGACCAGCATGGAGGCACTAGGACCTGGGCTTTTAGCACTGATGCAAGGGCAGGGCAGAGAGCCAGAACTGAGACCCCTAGAGGAGCCAGCCCTCGAAGTACTGCCTAGAGTAAGAGACTAGAAGACTTCCTTTCTGGCGATGTGCCGAGGAAACTTGTCATCTCAGGCTCTGGGTGGGAAAAGAAAGAAAAGCCTCTTTTGAGGAATCAGAACCTCAAACTTGTGTGAAGTGTAGGTGTGGAACAGGAATCGTAAGCCAAGAATGTAACAAAAACTAGTCCTAACCTCTGAAACCCACCAGTCCCAACAGATCTAAGCACAGAACCACTGTGTAGGGACATTTACAACCCAGGACCCACGGGACCCCATGGAAACACAATATCCACCGAAGATGAGCTAGTTCGCATGTGCTCGCCCCAACACACACACAAAGAAAATGGAAATGAATCACATTGAGATAGAATCAGCAGATGCAACAAAGTGAGAACCAGCACTTATGAGAACCAGAAATAACAAGTGAAAAACTAGCAAATAAATATTTAAAACAATTAAAGGGATAAAGGAAGAGGAGTCATAATGAAAGGAAAGGATATTCAAAAAAAGAATGGGTTTGAAAAGGAACCAAGTTGGTCATCTAGAAATGAAAAGGTGTTTACTAAAGATCACATATAAAAAGTAAAAAACAACAACAGAAAACTCGAGTTTCTCAGCAGTTGTATCCTAGAACAAAATGGAGAAAGCCAACCTAATCTGCTACTAATGGATTTGTTATGGGTGAGCACACATCTTCGTACCCACTGCAAGGGATGCACAGGGAAGGGAGATGACTGTGATGTTTATCCATCAAAAAACTCATAGGAAGGGAACCAAGCCAGAATACCAGCAATGGCTGCCCCTGGATCATGATATTATGTGTTATTTCTCTCCCGTCTTTTTATAATTTCTACTCTTTTAGAAAATTTGTAAGATGTGTCCTATTTTATTTTCAAGTAGCAAAGGAAATATTAGAGCTTTTATGCCACCAAAAATGTCTTTCCTGGTCAGAATAACACTGAATTTACTGCACAACAGATTGCCCTGAATATAAAAAGGAAATCTTCAGTCTTTGGCCAAAGGAAACATAGTGTTTGGAATAAATAACGGAAGGGCAATCTCATAGCTCAGGCCACAGGGTGCAAAGGCCCACAAAGAGGGCTCCCGATTGGGGAGCAAGACACTGTGATTATGGACCCAATGCCGGCTCCTGGGCAATGAGGAGAATCATCCAATGGTGCATGAGGATCCCCTAGAGGGAGCAGAAGTCAGGGTCTGAGCTGAGTGGGTAGGACCGATAAACCAGCTTAGAAACAAAGGGGCGATTCCTGCATCTGCTGCCAATGCCCAGAGTCTTCCCAGGCTTCACCTAGACTCAAGCTTGAGCAGCTACTGAGGGCAATGACGTGCTCAGCAAGTCACCCGAGTGTGTCGGGGATGACCGTTGCTGATGGCTCCTCTCCCCTCTCCCGAGGCGGTGTAATCAGAGATGGGTCTGCTCTTTTTTTCTGAGGACAGTGCTGGTCCCAATAGAAGAGACCAGTTACAAGCACCCTGATGACCCACCCTGGCCTAAAGGACCTGCCTCTGGTTCCTAAACTGATGGTGACCTGGCTTCTGCCCCTGAGAGCCCCTCCCTCACGTCTGAACTCCTGGGAGCCAGGGAGACTACAGAATCCAAGGCTGTGCAAATCAGGCCTTTGTGCACAGGAGAGCAGAGTTTGGAAAGCAGGGTTAGGAACAGGCTCCCAGCCCTGGCTCCCCACATTAGCAGGCCCGGCAGCAGAGTCCTGTGCGGAGCGGCCCCTGCAAGTTCCCACCTCTGCCATGGGCCTGCTGAGAGCAGGCTGCAGTGACACAGGAGTGACATGCTCCTGGTGGGCGGTTATTGTTTCCAGCCAGACCAGGTGTATGTGATACAATTCACCTCTGACACTAACTTCCCGCAGCTCTCATAGACCCCACAGGTGAAGGGCACAGTTCTCTACAGATGGGCCTCACTTCAGAGGCCAGCCACAGTCTCAGGGGGTCCCCAGGCCACCTCCACTTCTCACCGATTGCCTGCAAATTTAGGGGTTCCCAGAACCCCTCAGGATCAATAAATTGCTAGAACAACTTGCAGGACTCAGGAAAGCACTATACTTAGGATTAGAGTTTTAATATAAAGAGTACACATAGGGTGAAGTCTGCAAGAGTCCAGAACGCCCATCTTCTGTGCCCTCTTCCCATTGAATTAGGGTGTGTAACTCTACTGGCACATCAGCGTGTTCACCAACCAGGCAGCTTCTCTGAGCTTCAGTGTCCAGAGTTGTTATTGGGGTTTCATGACACTGGCATGACTGATTAAATCATTGGCCATACAATGGAACTCAACCTTCAGCCCTCCCCCCAACTCTCTGGAGGTCAAGGAGCTGAAAGTCCCAATGCTCTAATCACATGCTTGGTCCTTTTGGTGACCAGCCCCCATCTTGAAGCTGTCTGGGGCCCACCATGAGTCACTTCATTAGCATAAAAAAGACATTCCTGTCACTCAGGAAATTCCATAGCTTTTTGAAGCTCTGTGCCAGGAACTGCGAACAAATACCCGATATATTTTTATCATGCCACAGCTGTCTCCTGAGAAAGCACAGAGCAGGTGAAGGCCTAGTGCTTGGCAGCCCTGGCCAGAAACATGCAAAGTGCTTCCTGCTGAAGGAATGGCAGTTTAACCACTTCCCAGTGAGGGGCACCAGCTTTCCAAGAAAGCTCCCCCTGCTCTAGAGATGCTAGCAGATAACTCAGCTGGCCTGGCGAACAGCCCAAGATCTTATCAGGAAACACTGACCTGAACAGCACTAGCAAACCTCACAGGAGGGCATTATGATCTGAGCAGGCTCCACACAGCACCAAAGGGACAGGGGTGTTAGGAAACCAGGGCTCTCGTCCAAATTCTGCAACTGGCCTCGCCCTGTTCTCCCCCGCCTCATGTTAACAGCTGCAGCATCAACCCAAGAAGCCCTTGTAAGCATTCTGGAGATTAGGGGTCCTTTCAGATGGACAGAGGCTGCTCCATCCTGCGGAGGTCTGGTCTGGCTTCTCTTGGAGAACAAGGTGTTCCAGAGCTGGGCTGGGACACCCGTAGGCATTCTCCAGAGTTCTACTCACCCCTCCAGGAACATGTCCAGCCCAAGTGAGCCCCAGGCACATTGAAACAGCCCTGTCTATAAATGCAGCTTTGGCTGTCCTCCAAGAGAGAGGCGACTGAACACGAATGGGGTTGATTTCTCATCACCGGCTGAGCTGCTCTCAGAGGGCCTTTTTATACTTCCTCCTGAGCACAGCGGGGTGAATGGAAACACAGTTTGCAAACAGGTCCCCACCCACATGGATACCTTCATGGCCATCAGCTCCTGCATCAACACGGCGTTTTCAAGATCCAGCCGCTGGCTGTCTCCCCGGGGCTTGACGTCGTAGCTGAGGGGATCGATGTGGATGCTTTCCAGCTCCAGCATGGTCAACTTGACTGCAGCCCTGTCATTTTTGAGCTGCTGGATATAATCCTTCAGCCTTTGCTCATCTTCTTTAGTAAACTCGGTATCACAGCTACTGGCCGTGGAGCTGGTTGTGCTGAGAAGACAGACACAAAACACATCACATTTCCAAGTCACTGCTATGGGTCTTCCATCCTCACTCTTCTCCACACCCTGTCTCCCCAGCAGTATTTGAACGGTGGTCCAAAAAGAGCATTCTTCATGGCATGGCAAATTGACGCCACTTTTAGGAAAGAAATAAGTGTGAAGAATAACAGAAATGCTTACACCCTTTAACACAATGTTGTGGACCCTAGAAATGAATTCTAAGGAAATAATTCCACAGAAACAACAAAATATACACATACACAGATGTTTCATGGAATACAGGGTTTACGAATTATAGTACATATCAAAAGGAGGGAAATGGTGTGGACGTTACAGTATAATTGTGACAATGGTGAGGACATTTTAAGTGAACAGGATGAAAAATAGTATGCGTATAATAAAAATAGGTGTACTTGTGAATAGGATCTAAAGGGATACGTTAAGGGAACAAATTGAAGAACAAAATACCTATGGTGTAATCTTGGGCAGAGGCTGCCAGACCTAAGGGGAACCCAGGGCTGAACCCCAGGAACTGGGGCATGTGAAGGCTTCTGTAGGACCCAGACCATAATAATGAAAGGTTGAACACCGCAGGAAAACTGAGGCTCTCAAGAGGGTTCTGGCCTTTTCCAGCCAGTGGGGGTACTGCCCCCACTGGCTCAGATGGAGGCCCACTCCACCTAGTTGGTCCCCGAGCATTTGAGGCCAGCGTGGACCTACAGCATTTTCTCTGGACCTACACTGGACCCGCCTACAACTTGACATAGCCCTCACGGAAGTAGCTTTGGAAAGATGGCAGCGTAACAAGCAGGGGCCCATTTAACTCTTGTCAAAACAGGCTAGGCTGGCATTACTGTCTTTGTCATTGTGGATTTGGAAACCGAGGCTCAGTGACATTAGGTGGCTTGCTCAGTCATGAGGCTGGAAACTGGTACAACTGGACTTGGGTCACAGCCTTCTCATTCCACAGCCCTGCTTCCCAAGATTCCCGTCACTAGAAGCTGTGCCAGGAGCAAGAAGTGGTACCCACAGGCTGTTTGGCTTCCACGAGCCCAGGCCTGCCCTCCTCACTGCACACTGGAACAGAGGTAATGGGCCCAGGCCTCCAACCCAGCAGAGGTAATCTCCTTCTGATAACCTAGGTGTGATAAAGGGCCATTCTACTCTTGTACATGACACAATATCAAGAAGACAAGGCTTCTGGGGAGAGCAGGGGGAGAAGAGATGATGGTCTGGAGCTCTGCTGCTCAGCTGGCTGTGCACAGGAGGAAGAGAACATCCTAGGGCTTGGGCTGGTCTTCAAATCAGAGAACTCCTGCTAGGACTAGAAGCTCTTGAGCACCAGAAACTCTCCCCCCACTCCCTTTGCCCCATCAGGACAGGGAGGACATACCTTGGAGATGAAGGGAGCAAGATCAGCCTGACCACACACAACCTCTTCAGACGTTGTGATAGTTAATTTCATGCGTCAGCTGGGCTAGGCTCTGGTGCCCAGTTGCTTGGCCAAAAACCTGTCTAGATGTTGCTATGAAGGTATTTTTTAGATGTAATTAAGATTTAAATCAGTAGACTTTGAGTAAAGCAGATGACCCTCTATAATGTGGGTGGGCTCATCCAATCAGTTGAAAGCCGTAAGAGAAAAGCCTTCCCCAAAAAGAAGAAATTCTGCCTCCAGACGGTCTTCAGACTCAAGACTGCAGCATCAACTCTTCCCTGGGTCTCTAGCCTGCCTGCCTGCTCTGCAGATTTAGGATTTGCTAGCCCCCATAAGCACTTGAACCAATTCCTTAAAGTCAATCAATCAATCAATCGATCAATCTCTCTCTACACACACACATATCCTATTGGTTCCGTTTCACTGGAGAACTCTGAGACCGAGGTGCTACCTTTACCTGTGACCAGAGCATCTTATACGCTTAGTAGATTTAGAGGTAGAACGACTCCGCCTCCCCATGTCTATTTCCTCATCTGTAAATGACAGTAATAACAGAGCCTACTTCATAAGGTTGGGTAAGGATTAAATGTGGTAAATGTAAAGTGTTCAGAATACTGCCCAGCACACAGCGAGCACTCGAATATAGCTATCATTCATTTATTTAAGAAATACTGGAGTGCCTACCATGGGGTGCTCTTCCAGGCTTAGAAAAATCCCTGCCCTCGTGGAACTCCTATTCTAATAGGGGAGGCGAGCAAGTAAAATATACAGTGCATCAGACAGTGAGAAGTACCATGGAGGAAAATGAAGCAGTTATAGGGAATGCAAGGTGGGCATGGATTATTATTTGAAACGGAGTTGTGGGGAAGGCCTTCATCATAAAGTTACATGTGAGTAGATCTAAAGGAGGTGAGAAAGGGAGCTATGTGGCTATTTGGAAGAAGAGTGACCCAGGCAGAGGACTCAGCAAATGCAAAGGCCCTGAGGCAGCGAGCTTGGCCAGCAAGAATGAGATTGTGGCTGAATCGGAGTCAGCTAGGGGAGAGGAAGAACTGGTCAGAGAGGAGGGTGTATGTGGGAGGCGGCAGGGTGCCAGGTCACGTAGGGTTTTACAAGGGCTGTGTCTTTTTCTCTAGAATTAGAATGGAAGCCATTGGAGGGTTTGTAATAGAGGTGTGACATGATCTGCCTTACATTTTAACAGGATCCCTCTGGCTGCTGCGCTGAGAAGAGAGGCAGGGAGGCAAGGGTAGGGAGGCCCCTTAGGGAGCCACTGCACCAATCTCAAGGAGGGAGAGTGGAAGCTGGGAAGGCAGGAAGGAGGATAAAATTATCATCATTGTCTTCTCAAGGTGTATTTTAAAAAACATGAGAAGGGAGAAGCAGCATCCTCCAGATGGAACACTTCAGGTCCAATTCCATCAAGAAATGGAGCAGCTCACGAGAAGCATGGAGACAACTGGGGGCACTGGGGAGCCCGGCGGGGGGACTGAGGATGAGAGCTGTGAACAAGAGGGTCTCATCCAAGGAGAAGCCAGGGTCCCTCCCTCGGCCTCTCAGCATCCTTCAGCAAAGCCTTGCCCGGGGACAGCTCCGGGAGGCAGGCCTCGGACAAACCACTGAGATAGGATGGGAGCTCACCTTCACGGGTTATCAACCCTGACGTGGAGAGACAGACCCCTGAAGTGCCACAGGCAAATGAGCCACAGAATTAAAGCAAACGGAGTGGCGGCATCGCTCACCCAGCGTTCCACAGGCCGAGTGTGAGAGGCGCTCACGACGCGGCACGTGGGGACAGCGTGACGCTGGGAAAGATCAGCACTTCTCCTCCAGTGAGTTGGGAGGAGGCCATTTCAGGGATGAAATCCTTTCTCGTGAAGCTGGGACTAAGGACCGGAGGTTCACTTTACAAACCTAGCCCTTCCTTTCATTAAAAATTATTTTGAAAAAATTTAAACACAAGAAAAACACACAGATTAACACCCATGTACCTACCACCCAGGTGGCCTGTCATATTTTCTTCAGACAACTTTTTTTTTTAAATAATTTTATTTATTTTTTTTCCCCCAAAGCCCCAGTAGATAGTTGTATGTCATAGCTGCACATCCTTCTAGTTGCTGTATGTGGGACGCAGCCTCAGCATGGCCGGAGAAGTGGTGCGTCGGTGCGCGCCCAGGATCCGAACCCCGGGCTGCCAGCAGTGGAGCGTGTGCACTTAACTGCTAAGCCACAGGGCCGGCCCCAGACAACTTTTTAAGAAATATAACACTTATACTTGGGGCACCCTTTATTTCCTTTCACTTAAAAAAGAAATTACAAAATTCAAAGAGCACTAGGAACTAGAGTTCTCTAATTATTCTGCAGGCACAAAGTGATAATACTTGGGCCGAGTCTCCACTTGGCAGGGCTGGTGCCGCCCAGTGCATGTCAGAGCAGCTGCTGGGCTGGCCACAGCAGCATCGCCCAGGAGCTTGTTGGGAACGCACGCTCCCAGGCGCCACCCCCCAGACCTACAGCATCAGGAACTCTGGAGTGGGGCCAACAATCTTCGTTTTAATGCACCCTCCAGGTGATTCTGACGCACGGCCAGGTCTGGGAACCACTGGTCCACCCCACAGGATAAGTGGGCATTTGCTTAGTAACCTGTGAGGTAACAGCATCCTCCCAAATTCTCTAGGGAGAGGCCACTACATTCGTGCCTGTGATCACGAGCAGGTCTCTGACATCAGAGAGACCTGAGTAAATGCTCTTCCCCCACCACTGCCTAGGTGCATGGCTCAGAGTAAATGAGCCCACCTTTCTGGGCTGCAGTAAAGTGAGGAATACTAACAGTTCCCATGTCACCAGTTTGTGGAAAGGGGACAACGGGTCCTGAGCAGGCAGGACCAGCTAGTGCTGCCACATAGCACTCACTCTGGGGGAGGAGGAGGGACAGCTGTGCCCATGGCCCCACAACACCCAACACCTGACTCAGGGAGTCCCCCAGGGATCAGCCACCTAGCAGGTCATGCAGAAAATGCCCGTCTGAGGGAGAAGCAAAGCAGCAAGTGCTTGACCGGACTTGAGAAACCACCTAGAACCATCAGGGAGAACATGAATGTGGGTGGGCAGAGGCTGACAGGCTTTGGGGTGTCCTGGAGCCCTCTAGGGCCTGGGGCCTTGACCCCTGGCCAGGCGGGGAAGGCTTTTACTTCATCATCTCTGCTGTAGGTACAGTTTTTAGAAAGGAAGAAAAAGAAGAAAGAACAAAAGATCTCCCTCCAGAGATCGTACCCCTGCTGGAAGCTCAGAGCTTTCAAATGCTTTCATGAGGGGGAAGTTTAATTTCAAGTTAAGCACCACAGCCCCGCAGGCTTCCCTCCCTCCCTCCCAGGACACCAGCGGGGACAGATCGGGTGAGGTTAATTACGATTCTGCTTTGTGCCCTTGATGTTCCACTGTGGAATACGATTATGACAACAACGTCAAAGGAGGGGAAGCCACAGGCCTTTTCTCTGGCCTCCTGCAGACAAAGGCGCTGCCTGTCTCCTGAGGGCCTGCGGCCTGCTGCTGGGCGAGGGTTCCATCATCCATTAACTCTCCGGCCCGGAATGCCGGATGATCTCAGCTGTCAAAGGGGAATAAATCACTTTCCTGGGGGCCAGCTTACTCCTCCTCTCCAGGGTGTCCAGGGTGGGAGGCTATAGGTGTTCTCTGAGGGGGATGGTGGGGAGGGCTGCAGATGAAGAAAACCCCAGCCCACCCCCAAAAGGGTGGAGCCACACTTTTTTCTGTTTTGCTCTGGAGCTGGGCCAGGTCGTGTGGGTTTCTCTCTTCCGTGATGCTCTGCCTGAGCTCCCCTCACGATGGCTTTGCTCTGCGTCCCTTAGCTTTCAGTGGATCTTTCAGCACACTGCACACAAGGTGGCCTACAGGCGAGGGTGGGAGAGGAAGCACACCCTGGCCAGGCCTGAGACACCCCACGCTTCTGGCTGCCCTGGCCCCAACAGGATGTGCACGTCGGTTTATTCAAGCAGCCATCAATTTCAAATTTCCTCTCTTCTGTCCCTCTCCACCATGTCCCATCCTCATCCTCAAGACAACTCCTCATCCTTTTTTGTTGTTGTTGTTGAGGAAGATTAGCTCTGGGCTAACATCTGTTGCCAGTCTTCCTCTTTTTGCTGAGGAAGATTGGCCCTGGGCTAACATCCGTGCCATCTTCCTCTACTTTATATGGGACGCTGCCACAACATGGCTTGATCAGCAGTGCATAGGTCCGCACCCGGGATCCGAACCTGCGAACCCCGGGTCGCCGAAGCAGAGCGTGCTAACTTAACCACTACGCCACCGGGCCGGCCCCCTCATCCTGCTTTTTAAAGAAAAATCCGTTTTTTTCCCAGCCTCCCCATCTTGTCTTGGAGAAAAACTAGAAGGGCACGTCATTTTGTTTCACCTCGAAAACCAGAGACAGGTTTTTTCTGAAGTTTTTAATCAATGTCTTACCTGACCCCAGATGAGATCTCATTTCTACCAAGAAGCAGCTCATTTCCAGAAGGAAAGTGACACTGGGCTGGCCTTCTGTTTTGCTGAGGATTTTAAACTTTTTTTTTTTTAATTTTATTTATTTATTTTTCCCCCAAAGCCCCAGTAGATAGTTGTATGTCATAGCTGCACATCCTTCTAGTTGCTGTATGTGGGACGCGGCCTCAGCATGGCCAGAGAAGCGGTGCGTCGGTGCTCGCCCGGGATCCGAACCCAGGCCGCCAGTAGCAGAGCGCACGCACTTAACCGCTAAGCCATGGGGCCGGCCCGTGAGGATTTTAGATTTATCTGGAGGAGGGGGTCAGCCCAGGTGACATCTGGCCACATCAGCCTCTCCTAAGTGGCCCCATTCCTCCAAGCGCAAGGTGGAGCCTTGTCAACCACCTGTGTCGCTAGTTGTGGGTGTCCGTCCACCCCTTTCTGACGAGGCCATGGCTATATTTTTCAAAAATGAAATAGCAGTGTCCCTGGGCTCCTGCCAACAGCATCAACTGGCGGGCTGGACACCTTTTTTATTCTCCTTGCAGGTAACTACCCTTCTGTTGCTCCCTTCCAAAACCACGACCTTCCTGTCATCAGAGCTGCCAGAAAGGCATCTGGAGGCCTGGTCCTCAGCATTCCTTTCTTGAGACCTTGAGGAGCGGTTGACTGACACTTGGATTAGAATTCTCTATGCCAGCTGGTTACAGCGGGAGGAAAGGGGATTTATGGAGCCGCATAAAACTCCAACTCGGAAAGCTCCTTTTCTTTCTCTTTTCTATAATCTTGACAGTCATGGGGGAATATCTGAGCTGGAATGTCAAGATTTACAAACAAAATCAATTATTATAATTATGAAAGGGTCTGGTGGTTTGGGACTTTTTTCTGAGGCCACATTTAACATAAGCAGTCCAGTTGTATCAGGTCTTAAGAATGCGGGGTGCCACATGAATGCCCTGTGTGTGGTTCTTTTGTACCCATTCTGAGCTGCTCCGATTTGGGTGGGGGTGTGAAAGGGAATTTTTAAGGAGAACTGAATGAAATCTGAGCTAAAGACCTTTGTACTTTGATGGGAAGATCCACTTAAGACTGAATTTATTTCACAGGGCTATTCTTTAGGAGGGCATCCTTGAAAACAGAAACTATGTTCTGAATTTATCTCAACCTAAAGAAATACATTACCTAAAATTAAATTTCTCTAAGAAAACTGTCTCAAAATTAAGGCTCATCTGTATGTTAAAATATTTCTAAGAAATATTCACAACCAGGGTCTCCACTAAATAGATGGTGAGAAAATGCCCCTCCTCCTGACTGACTTCAAATTTGTGTCTGATTTAGATTGACATAACAAAATTATTTTGGGGGGGGCGGGGAGGTATGAGCAAAAGATCTGTAACACATACCTTATTTGCTACTGAAACAGCAGACATTTCCTGTCAACCCAATTCTTACGTTCACTAATTCAACAGAACAATATCACTAACACCACGAAAACTACATTTCTATTCTAAATGAACGTGGAAATGATAGATAATACACATCTGGAAAAGTCATTAAGAAGAGCATCTGCTTTCTGGGTTTAAATAGAAAAATCTGGTTTTAAGAAAAAATAAATTACAATCTGTCACTGAATAAGACAACTGTTGCTGGAGTCAAGAGGAAAAAAGTCCCTTGTGTTTGTGGGCACCTGGCCAAGTGCCTTATTGGGAATGTCCCCTTTCTGGAGGCACTCAGTCCAGGACTGGTAAATGGATGCGCTTAGGCAGATGCCTGGGTCCTACCAGCGGGAAATAGAGATGGGAACATTAAATTGCTTTCAGGGACCAGGAAAACATCACTATCTCTCCTTTGGCTCTTGAGATTCAATCTACCCCTACGTGGTTTTGGTCACTTGATCTGTAAGTAGACACTATTTTTTAACATCATGAGATCCAACTTGGTAGAGTGGAAAGAACAATATGCTTGGTGCTGAAGTCCTGGGGTTGAGTCCTGATATCCCTCTTATCTATCAGCCATGTGACCTTATTTAGGCAAGTCACTTGCACATCTCTGAGCCAAGGTTTTCTCACCTGCAAAAATGGGGTAAGTTAACCTTCCTGTCTTTTATGATTTGGCTATCACATAAGAATCTCTAACAAAGTACTTTCTAGACTGAGGACTGTATATAAAGGGAAGGCATTCATGTTTTTAGGGCTTCGGTGGCAAGAAATGAGAAAATCTTTAGAAAAGGCTTCATTCTGACCCTCTACCCCCATCCAAAAGAATCCAATGGCTTCAGTAAATTATGCTCAGCAAGGTCTTCACGGCTTTCCTCCCCATCTTTTTCAAGCACCCACTTCAGTTGTCTAGATGCACAGACACTGAACTTGAACTCAGGTTCATGATTAAGTGCCTGCTAAGCACTTGCTCTGAATATGGCATCACTCTACAAAGCAAAAAAGATGGGAGAAGAGAAGGCTATTGTCTGAGAAGAGCTTAGAAAGGATAGAGGCACAAGAGGAAGGGAGAGAATGGAGCCTGGAAATAGGACGCAGTGGTCTGGGTCTTGGGTACTTAAGGACCATTTGCAGTAAATGGGCCTCAGTGATCCCCAATGCTTCTTGGAAATCAAGAACTATAAAGTAGAGAATAGACAAACTGGGGGCAAGAGCACCAGACAGAAAAGCAGGTTTGGGTTCCATCTCTACCACTTTCCTTGAACAGCTCACCCCTTCTCTCTGGGCTGCAGTTCACAGGTTTGCAAAAAGAGAAGGCCCTTTCTAGCTCTCCCACTCTGATTCTCTGACTCTGGATGGAGCAGGCTGCAAGCCAGGGGAGAATTCTGCCCTTACACAAGCCTCATGGTCCCTGAGAGCTTGGTCACATTATGTCAAGCCCAGTGAGTGGACTACACGTGGACACACATCCATCTTGTGGCAGAAAGGCCAAGAATTACCTGGTGTGGCTGTTGGAGGAGAGACTCTCCCAGGGCTGCACGCTGCAGCCGGCCACGGCAAAGGCTCCCCCGCAGCTGCCGTCCAGCTTCATGAGCAGGGCCTTGGCGGCGTTCTCAGCCGTCTTCCGGCAGTCGTGAGCTCGCTTGAGCATCTGAGTGATGTTTTCATCCCCTGACTGGTCTCCTACATTGCAGAGAAGCCAGTGGGTTAATCATCACAGGCCTAGATGAGGCAAGCCTGGGAGTAGGTTTGGATAATCAGTTCTCAGTTATTCAGGGCAGAGGTGGCACAGTGGAGAGGAACTAGCAGTGGATGGCCAATGAAGAGATCTGTGTTCTGGGCCTGGCTCTGTCACTTAGAAACTGTACTTAGGAAGGCATTTCTCTGCTCTGGGCTCTGCTGTCCTTATCAACAAATGAAGGGTTGGCTAATGTGATCTCTGAGGTCTGTTTCCAGCTCTATCATGCTATGATTTTCTAATTATCCAGGCTCCTGGGGTCTCCTCCCACTCAGTCACAAGTCTACTCTTTGGCCATTCTTCCCTGTGTTGCTTGGGAATGAGGGCAGGGAGAAATTGAGGCCAAACTGTGTCTCTACTCATCTACAGCTTTGGTTAGAGCTTCGTGTAGGCAAGAGAAACAAAACTAATGGTTAAAATGAGAACTTTAGGGGGCCAGCCTGGTGGCATAGTGGTTAAGTTCGCGTGCTCCGCTTCGGCAGCCGGGATTCGCAGGTTCAGATCCCAGGTGCGTTACCTGTGCACCACTTATTAAGCCATGCTGTGGCAGGCGTCCCACATATAAAGTGGAGGAAGATAGGCACAGATGTAAGCTCAGGGCCAATCTTCCTCA